CCAGCCCGTCGGGCTTCTTCCAGGTCCTTTTAATGTTTGCCTGCCATTTGTTACTGGCAATGGTTTCTCGACGGAGCATTTTAAATCCGTTGCCGCAGTCGAGAACGGATATCTAGGTCTTACCGTCAACGAATTCATACATATCGACTTCGGTAGGAAAAGGGTATGGTTTGCATTTACTAAAATCAGTGCAAATGACCAGCTTGCGCGAGATATCGTCGGTGGCTAACGTCAACAGCTGCATCACTTTGCTAGTTTCTTTCTTGTCTGCAAGATAGCAGTCGCGAACAGCGCTGCACGGATGGAGGCCGAAGAGAGCAAAGTTTTAGCCAATGCCACAGCCGCTGCTGCCTCTTTGGCCGCCTTTGCTTCATTTGTCTGGCGCTTTTCAGCAGCGAGACGAGAGTTTTTCCCCGCAGCGTCTCAGTTGTGGCTGATTCTGTCACAGTACCAGGTGTCAATCCCAAGAAAAGGTCCCCGAGTGCCCCAGAAAGAAAGGATTTGAAGTCGACGACTTCTGATGACTGGTCGGTCGCCTCCACTTCAACCCACTTGATGAACGCGAACACCAGCGCCTGGCGAGCTAGCAACGATATAAACTTCACTGGCTTCAGGTGGGAGAGTCACTGAAGAACATGTGCGCCATGGCTGTGTGAATCATCTCAGCTTGCGCATGACCAACGCCAGTCCATCCGCGGGTAGTCTTGCGTTGATCCAAGCCGATCAAGACTGGCATCAACAACTGCATGTCGATATCTTCGCCTGTGGCTTCGTAGATGTCGACGCCTTCGCCCGTGACCAGGGCTTGCGTTACCGCTGGCATCTTGAGCTGCAGCGCTGGGCACAGGCACAACGGTATATGCAAATTAAGAAAATTAGCTGTTAAACAAAATAAAGGGTTTAAGATTGACCCAGAAGCAACCAAATATTATTGCCAATGCAAGTCGCATAATGTGAAGTAAAAGTTCCTCTAGAATTGACAGTCAATTTGGTGGCTACTCCTATGGGTAACCAAAATGAGGAGCCACCCAAACTGTGCTGCAGTTAAATACCCGGAGCTCCGCCGGGTACTCTCTGAACTATCGTGTGTTCACTGTGGGTAACCCTAGCTCATCGAACTAGAATTACCCAACGTAGGTCCGGAATATCTCTAGTGATTACCATATAACTTATGTATTACACTTGAAACATCTGAGACAATTTTTTTTTTGAAATCTAAAATTCGACGAAATCCGGCTGCCCCATTGACTCATGACCTTTATTGGCTATACTTAACGGCGTTTAGACTCGCCCTTAAATAGTCTGAGACATATAGGGATGATATTATTTATATTGGCTGACTTTATCTTCGCCTAACTATACGATAGCAATTATCTACTAAAATAATTACCCATCGGGGAATCGAACCCCGCCCTCAAGCGTGAGAAGCTTATATCCTAGCCGATAGACGAATGGGTGATGTGTCATTGAAAAGAGATACATATTCATCCCACATATTTTTATGTATTTTTAAAGTATGACGAGTGGTTGAAAAAAAAATACCGCTTATCATAGAAGGCGTTAAGTTTATTGTTATACTACTAGAGCGTTTCTAGTTTACATACCAGGCTGTTCACAAAATGGTATTATGAAGGACGGACTATTTTATTCAAGTGTATTTGCGACTGCGGTTGTTTCTGCTAGTTTTTTTGGGGGGGAGGGTTATGACGCTTGTACTTACATACGTATTTACGGGTACAAGAACTGCCGTGCTATCACGTAAGTTATCATATTTGCATAAATAGGACGCAATATGCTATTGATCATGCCGCTCACGTTGTCTGCACGTATTTGAAGAGGAATCATAAAACATATTTGTACGGTAGAAGTATCTGTATACTCACCGGTTCAATTCATCGTTTCTGTATCAATTGTAACGCATACAACCTACACTTCGGTATTTCTGTTAGACAAACAAGGCTTTCTACAACAATCATGTGGGTCCATGAAATCAGAGTTGCTATTGTCACAGCAATATAGGTGTGGTTGCAGATTTCAATATGATTAGTTGTAGTATCTTATTTTCAGGCGATATGCGTGAGTGTGTGGGTATACTGTGCATTATATAGGAAAGTGGTTGATGTGTGTAAGGGCATAAAGCAACTTAATGTTTGTTAGATAGCGTGGGCATACTATGAAACAAATATCACCACCCTTGTATGCGAACTCTGCTCGCGCACAATATGACACGCTACACGAAACACAAACTAATTTGCGTCTTGTGTTATCAAACAGACTGCGGACTGCGTACGATTAAGTGACAACTGGTGGCCAGTTATCCAGTGCAAGCACGAATTATATGGGCATTCATCTCAACCAAGTTACAGAAATATCTGTTCGTCCACAATGATACTAAGGGGATAGATACCAGGATAGCAAATAGTGAACAGTACATTCAGAAGCAAGGGCCATAATTTGCAGAATTATGATGTATAATGGGTTTCAGTCCATTTATGGAAGTTTCATATGTCTGCAGTATTTCCATGGAAATATACCTTATATCGTGATTGGTGACCACGCGATGAATAAGGCCGCGTTTTGATCAAGTTGCTTAAATTACTCCCGAGAGTTGAGTTAGTACTTAACCGACTCCCGAGAACAGAATAAGTTTCTCAACCGACTCCCGAGTGTAGATTACGCTTGTCAACCGCAAGATTCTAAAAATAGCTGCGTTCCTAAATGAGTCACAACCTATGCGGAAAGGCATCATGTGATCAGCGTGAGATTCAGTTGCAAAGAAATCGAAATGGAATAGCATCGAAGTGTTGAAGTATTCTGCAGAAGGTTTTTCATACTGACTATATGAGTTTTTACCCTGGCCAGCCCAAGCGGCTGAACACTAGCACAAAAACTTAAGGTATAAAACCAAAGGTGAGGTCAGAAATAAATACATACATTTGCACTTTATTTAAAGTCTACTACATTGCACTCTAACAACTTATCAGGTCACTCTGATCTCGCGCTATCAATATGCCTACTGTGAACTCTAAGGATATTAAGACCACCACTTTTCTCGAATCGAAGGTCGACTGGCTTCCTTGGAAAACTCGGACAATTCTATCCGTGAATTACGAAGAAATCCCAACAATATTGACCGATCCGACCCCGTCAACCGATGGACACCCAAGGAAATCGCTGAGGCTTATCGGATTATCAACCGCACCTTATGTCCACTACTGCAGACGGAGATCCGCCAATTCGTTGATAAGCCGTGGGAAGCTTTTGCCACACTGAAATGCAAGTTTGAAACCCTGACCGAAGATGAAATCCAGACAGGAGAAGGAAAACTGAACCGCATCATGCAAGAACGGAACGAATCTTACGCCAGTCTTATCAGTCGTTTTAACACGACATTTATGGATTTCAAAAACGCCGGAGGTACGAAGTCTAACAAGAGCTTATGTGCTATTCTACGGCAGGCTGTAAACGACGATAATCAGACTGTTAAGATTACGTTGAAGACACCCGCTATGATGGCCAGGTTGTATGATAAGCTCACCACGTATCTCATCGCATTGGATCCATATAAAAGTGACCCATCAACCATTGTGCACGGTGCACATGCAGCTATATCGACAGAAAATTGTGCATTCTGCAACAATCGTGGACATTCCATCGAGCGATGCCGTAAGCTACAAGCGCTAATCAAATCATACATTGCTGGTAACCCACATAATCAGGGTCGTGACCACGACGGTCGTAAACGTTACGATCGACGGATTGCCAAATCTGGTCCTCGTCATAACATGAGAGACTACAGATTTATGTCCTAGAACAATGACCAGCATCGCCGACCTGAGGAACGATACAACAGAGACAGCAGCTACCAATAACGCTACGATAATCCCGATGATCGTGACCAACAGGGCTACCGAGTAGAAATATACGATCGACGCGACTACGACGATGGTAGATATTCATGAAATACCCAACGTTCACAAGACATTGACAGAATATACTGATCCCAGAGCAATCGACGCCAAGCTCATGAAGGCAGACATGACAAAGCAATGCCAGCACAAGTATCTGATGACCAGCTATCTGAAAACAGACAGATTGCATTCTCCACGATTAACCCTACAATCGACATCAAGGAGGTGAATGATCAGTCAGATAGAGATACCAGAGGCATAAGCATCATCTCGTCAGCAACATGCGCATTAATGACAGGTATGCGCTGGAAGTAGCTGATGGTACAATCATTCATCCGAAGTATGTGGCTCAGCTAGGAAACTTGGGGGACACACTCATTGATATGACATTCAAAATTGCACTACTAAGTATTAACCTACTCTCAGCGCGACACTACTCATTTGAATTCACCAACAACATGATGTACATATTACCACCCAGCTTTAGAACCATAACAGTACATGAAAAGCACAGAATATACTGCGTGCACATCGACGACATAGCTATGACTACAGTGGAACTATCGCTGGAGAAAGCTAACCAGATTTCATGGCACAACAGGCTTGCGCACCCCAGCTACGTCCCAAAAGATTTACCCTACATAAGGCAACCAGAGGAACGATGCAAAGCATGCACTATTGCTAAGAATAAGAACAAGAATACAAACAAGGAACGACAGCACGAACCTGCCACAGAGCCTCTCGAGTTAGCCGTCGTGGACATAAAAGGTCCGTTCGCAACGTCAATAGGATCCAACACCCACTCCTGTATCAACCATGGACGACTTTTCTAGCATAGACAAAAAGTATCCGATCCGTGATTTGAAAGCAACAACGATACTTGACGCTATGTTACACAGCTATACAATAACGATATGAAAAACTGTGATAAAAGTGATCACGATGAGTGTATTGCAATCAGTGGCTTTATGAGCGAGTTTACTCTGATTAGATCTCATGAAGGGGATAAAATCTCAGAACCAGAGATGGACAAACTACTCAAGATGAGTGAGTTTCCTAAGTTACAATTGAGTTAGTATCTTTAGCAAAAGACTTGTTCGCGAGCACAAACATACCATAGGTACAGTACTTGTCACTCGTACAAGAACTGCTCAGACAGACAGACGCAACAGAGGTATCGCGCACTGCACTCAATAATATACGTAGTTCCTGAAACAACTCTGGAAGGACTTCACTGATGTGGAAGACTACAATATATTAACCATTTGACAACCTGCGTCGCACTCCAGTAGACTATCTACTAGATAAGTGGCTCAACGACTTCTACGACACTCGTATGAATGTTGAGGTCCGAGCAGTACGATTACGTCGCACAATGTTCGAGTTCGAGAAGCGTTACAAGAGCACTAAGAGAGAGAGTCCATCAATTGGCAATTCCTCAAGGCATCACGTTACCAAGTGCTAGTCATATACGGCCTGAAAATGGAGACAGATAAACCGATCAAGGCTCAAACAAATACGGATGATAGTAGTGGACACTTGTCTGATATTTTGGAGAAGGTATTTCATGAACTCACTGAAGATATGATCAGACAGGCAACCATAATACAAGCCAACCGCAAGCGTGACAACAAGCGAGCGAGAAACGCAACCGTCCCTGACCAGAGAGTCATTCGTCCAAGAGTGGACATACCTCCAGGGGGTCCACCCAGAGGTGGGTGTACCAAGAGGTGGGGGACAACTAGGAGGACAAGGCAGAGGCCGCCCCATAGGACAGGCTACTGACACCCCAGCACCGCGAGGACCAAGACCTTGCCCACACTGCGGAGAGTTGCTAGCACTAGTATACAGCCTAAAATACTTTTCAGAATACATCAAAGGAGGCGATATAACAAGATGAACAAGCAGCAAGCACTGCATCCCATGCTCGCAAAATGAATAGCAAAACATTCCATCACCACTTCACTATCATACACGTACCAGGCAAAGATAATGAAGTTGCTGATAGATTGTCACGTTTACACGAAGACACATTCAACATCAAAACATCAAATGTGTTGAAGGAAGCCAATGAGCACATACACAATGGTC